AGAAACGAGCATAAAGCTTCATCGTGGTTTGCAGATAAGGTGCGGGCTCCTTCGGTACACGGTCCAGGCACTCCCGCACTTCCAAGCCTAAGACCTCGGTAGTCTATCAGATAAACTTTAATCTCTTACGAGTCACACTAAAGTTGCAGAGTTAAGAAACTTTTTTCAACGACCAATTTCAAACGTTGCTACTACCGTGCCACACTCTATAGTAAAGAGGATAAGGGTTAATCGAGGGCAAAGGAGATGATTTGATAGTGAAGAGGATAAGGTAGGAGAAGGGCGATAAGGTAGAGCGCTAGAGACGCATGAAATAGTAGAGGATAGAGGTGGAGGTTAAACAGGCTAAGAGACTGATTTGGAGAGGAAACACAGTATAGACAGACGCCTTTTTTTCTTTTCGTCAGAACGACTTGGCGGAAGGTTTGGGGGAGTGGTGGAGGAAGGGGTGCAAGATGACACAATCGAGTACAAAATAAAAATGGAAAGCATAGAAGGCCATAGAGTCGACGAGGAGTCGTAAGACCAAAACTCTTCGATGACACCAATGCCAACTTCGAATATCGCTAGCGAATGGAAACTTTTTGACACGCGACTGCTTGCTAAACGGGGGACCAGCACTGGAGGCCAAAAAGACTTTTTCGTGCGGACCCTAATGTCGAGGTTGAACATCGGTGAAAAAAAGTTGCCGATAAAGAACTGTGGTCAAAAGGGGGACAGCGCGCCGCAAGGAATGCGACGGGTGCGTTAAACAACGCCAAGAATACGAAAAGGCGACCCAACCGTGACGGGCATGAATTAGTGCGTTGCGTCAGACGCGAGACCGTAAATAGCTCATAGGGCAGACCGTGGTCTCAGGATCATATGCATGCACTGGGTATGTTGCCCATCCCGGTATGGATCGTTCGAAATTCCCATCAAAATGAGCCAAAGGGGGGCTCAATCAAAGCATAGATTGTGTCGTGGCGGGGTCGTGGCGGGGCATAGATAAAGAGGCGAGAAGTTGAGTTCGCGCCAAGGTTAGTTTTGACGAATCGAAAAAAGGTGGTGGCTGGTGTATTTGATTCTGTGCGAACCTTGAAGACTTTCGATACCGAGTAGAAGAGAGGAATGCATGTTACAGGTTGATAACGGAGAAACAGACGGGCAAGGAGAGCAGAGGCGCTCAATGCAACCGCTCCACGAAGAACGATGGAGAGGATGAGCTCGACCTCGAGTTTGTCAAGAGATCGAGTGAGGAGCGCAAGAGAAAGGAAAGGGTAGGGTGGGTGTTAAGGGAGAGGGAAGGGTTGAAATGAAGTGAAATTGGATTGGAATGCATATAGTTTGATGACAGTCTGATTCTGGAACAATTCGGAATGGATACTATAGAGGCTTGACAGATGTCCTAGTCTCTGGTTCAAGTCCATACGAAGGTTGGATGATGGAAGAGAGATGCACGAATGAGGGCCAGACACGACGATAAATGAGACGAGAACCGCCCCAAACAAGTGGAGAATTTTGACGCGACAAAGAATGCAAATGGAAGTCGAAAACCGGAAAAGGTCTGCACGTATACGAACGCCATCATCACACGGTCAAAGAGTCGGGTGGTTCCCCCGTCAAACGGACAATGCGCTCCGATTTGATCACTTTTTTTTGGGTTGGGAATTACGACCAAATCTAAGTATAAAGGATGGGACCGTGTAGATGGTAGGCATCGATCGTGGAGGGTGTGGAAGTGAGCGAAAACGAGTTGAAGGTGCAATGCGAATAAAGGGAGGGAAAGTGGGCCTACTGTTGGCGGAATCGAGCAAGAAGGATCGAGGATTGCAAAAAGATCTCCTTGGCGTTTGGAACGCTGCCATGAGGGAGGAGATCATTAGTCGGTCGGCTCGACCTTGACCAAGGACACGTCGTCGGATGATGGTAGCTTCGAGGACGGAGATGGAGGCAGACGAGCCGCCGCCGGTGCGTCCTTTGAGGCTACATCCTTGACTGGGGAGGATGGAGCTGTCCCACAGGCCCCGACGTGTTCGTCACCGACACTTGCATATCCAGAGTCCGCAAAGCCGATTCCAGCCTCGGCGGCTGCATCATCTTCCGTTTTTACTATCGCATCTTCGACGGCAGGCTTGACATCCTGGCCTTCTTCTTGTTTGATTGCGAATGCTTCTTCTACATCCGGTAAGTCTTCCAAATACTTGAGGGCATCGCCATGGAGAACCAAGTAGAACTGGGTGACGATGGTAGACGCGCGTTCAAAGAGAGACTCCTTGTACTTGTTAAAGACTGTCTGCGAGATGCTGCCGATGTTGGTCGACAGCTGGTCGTGCATATAACGCGCCACGTGCAAGGCGGCGGGCGACTCGTTGGAACGCTGAAAACAAAATGAGAATGAATGCTAAATAAAAGGGGAAAAACATACGTCGCGTGTCTTCCAGTTGATGACCTTGGACAAGATCAGAGCAGCCTCGGCAATCACACAAGGAGGAACGTCAATCAAGGCGTCTTGGTAGATCATGACCTCCATGAAATAACGGGCAATGCACTGAGTAGAGAGATCAGCCATGATCACGGGCACACCGTGGGTCTCCAATTCGGGGAGGCCGACCCATCCCTGGCGGATGGCCATCTCCTTGGAGGCTTGCGAGCCCGAGCGATCGAGGGTGTTGACCATGCAGCGGAACCAAGCTTCGCAGGTCGGGTGACCAAGCTGCCATTCAATAGTCTGTAGGACGTGACCCTCCATTTGGATGAACGAGGTCTCCTCGTACACGTCACGGCAGTACTGCTTGAGATCGGCAGCCGTCGGGACGTGGTCCTTGGAATCCTCAAACTTGGCCGCGATCCAGAGAGCGGTGCAGCCAACGAGCTGGTAGTGCTTCTTCCAGACGGTACGGCGAGAGCAGTATCGGTCGAGGATGTTGATGCCAAGGTAGAGGGTCTCCTGGCGCAAATGGAACACGTTATGGAGCTCGATCATAAAGTCGATGAGGCTTGGGCGCATGCTCAGGTCAATGTCGATCTGCTGTTCCATGGCGGTCCTCGATGGTTGGGTGACCTCCTGAAGAGGGAAGAAGACGGTTAATGCCTCTTCAAGGGTCAACCACAATGAAATATAAAAATACAAACCTGCATCTTGTACATGTACTCGAGAATCTCCTCACGGTATTCATTTTCGTAGAGGGAGATGTAGCGCAACAACCTTCCGCGGGCGCGCTGCTCATCAGTGATCGGAGCAGGAACCGTGGGACCCCTCTTCTTCTTGGACTTTGAAGCCGTGTGCAAGCGGGCGTTCTCAGTTTGCAACTGGCCCTCCGCCCTGGACATTTGACGCAGCTGCGCAATCGTCAAGTTGGGGGGCAAGAACGACTCTGTCCGGTCCGGCAAAAGCTGGTTCTGCAGAGCGACTTGCTGTTCGGGTGAGAGAGCGGGGAGCTCTCCACCGACAGCTAGTCTCTTCTTGGGCGACGCTGGCTTGCCACGAGGGTAGGGCTTCATGGAGTCGGCGCGCGAGCAGGTAGTGAGGCTTTGGCGGGAAGCGGATGTATCCTTCATCTTGAAGTAGGCAGTAGCAGTGAGGTTTGAATTAGAAATGAAAAGAGTAGCGGTAGGAGAAACGATAGTCGCGGAAGCAGACTTGGTATCGATCCTTTTGTTATTCCTAGCGGGGAGGGAAGCGTCAGAACGACCATAACGATAGACAGATTCGGTAAACTCGACGAGTAGATCAGGGGTAGGTGGGAGGAATAGGGAATAGGCGAGTGGGATGGCCATGATAAGGCAAAACGAAAAAGTGGCAAGCGGGCGGGGTGAGTGGGTATGTGATTAAATTAGGGGAATAAAGAATGATAATTAAGAGGATTATTGCGTGGATAAATGAGCTAACACACTCTAGCGAGAAGAGAGAATATGCCTTGGGGGGAGCGAGAGGGAGGAACTCGGACGCGGTCAACAGACAAAAGATGGCAAACAACGTTGGGAGCGCTGAGCCGGCTGGTCGTCGCAGCGGATACCCTGGCGCATACCAAATGACCCTCTGGATACTTCAGAGGGTCCTCTTGATAGTCGAGGAATGGATATCTGCGTCTCCGGCCCAGCCAGCCATGGATGTGCGAGTGGGATGGATGGGGAGGGGGCGAGCAATGAAGAAGGGAGAAAAAAAAGCGCAAAAATGCGGGGATGGCTGGAAATGCCCACCTTTTGGTCTAAAGAGCTCTCAGAGCTTGTAAAAGGTCGTATCTCAAGATACTAGAGGAGCGAATGGGGGCTCGGTGAACGTATTGGCCTTCTTCTGCACAAGATGAGGACGAGAGCCTTCTAGTAGGTGTCGGAGATGGGATTTGAGGACGTGAAAGACGAGTAGGATGTCGAGCTGGTGAGTAGGTCGTCGAGGGCGTTGGATGAGGAGGCGACCAAGATGAGATCGAAAACCCCTCGCTATAAACACAAAGAAATGTGATGGATGTGACTGCGAACAGTAGTTGTCAGTTATGTCACTTATCTCGGCCCATGATAACCTTAATCGACCACTTATCTCGCTCTTGCCGAATAATCCCTCAAAATTATTTCCAAGTCCAATTCCGGTTCCAGGGAATGAATGCAGCGTTCAGCAGAATGTGCTAGTGGGCAAGGGTGAATCTCGAGGGGGAGATCTCGTTCTCTCTCAAGGGCGAAAAGCAGTCCACTGCCGATTCAGGTGCTTTTTATGATACAGCGGAGAAGGGGAGTGTAGTGTCTCACTCGTTCATTCAGTCATGGCGAGCCCACTAGAGGGCTCAGGATGTCAGTACGCTCTACACGCTGAACAATTTCCGAATCAGGTTGAATACTAGCAGACTGTATACACTATCCGTGCTGACAAGAGTTTCAGGCGGCGTTGGCATACCAGGTTTCACTACGACCGGCGCATCCTGCTCTATCGTCTGGCGGCTCGATAAGTGTCTCAGTACCCGGCAAAAGTGAGATTCAGAATCGATCTCTACAAGACAGCCTGTCCGAGAAGGCATATGACAAGTCCAGCGCTCAATGGGAAACGACTCCATTATGCCCAGTGGCCGTCACCGGTCGTGGCGTTTTGGCATCAAGAGTACCCTCCTATTGCCCCTCGTAAGATCACCAACGAGGCTCCGATTGATTTCTGAGGCGTGAAGCGAGTCCGCTTAATGGGAACTCGAATACGCAATCGTGGTGTACGCGGTTCGGAGTTGTGCATTTGCCGTATACGGCGCGTCAAAATCCGCATCAATTCTGGAGGATTTGGACAGCTCGTCTTCTCGTGCTTATTCGGAACCCTCTTCATCGTCACAATACGCACGATCATGGATACTTTTTCATGCATACACCTCTCGAAATTCACAGTGGGCAGCCTGGGCTCACTTGAGCGGCGTCGGGATGTCACACTCCCCTTTGTTCTCCTAACCGTTTGGAGAGGCGTACCGTATTCACGAACGCGGACCTCCGCATGCGAAACCTTTATGCGAGAAGGTTTCACTTGACAGACCTCTCCA